TTTTTCTTGGAAACATTTGGTAAAAAAAATTTAAAAATTAAGAGTGAACCTTAATTGTAGAGAATTTGATATTAAAATTAATTATGAAAAATGCCATTAAAATTCATAAAAGATAATATTTATGTATAAGCTTATAATTATTTAAAATTCTTTACAAGTCTCATTGATTATTAAACTTATTTGAGATTACATTATTCAATTGATAAAAAAAATATAAAAGATATAAAACTACAATAATAACAAAAATTTTATCTAAAATTTATTCAAATCAAATAAGATTAAATCTCATAAAACTAATACTTTCTTGAGAATTTTTACAAACTTGCCAATCTTTAGTTTCTTGAACTCCAAACTTGATTTTAGAAGCACTTTAGTCATTATGTTAGTATGTTGTACAACAATTTTTGACCTAAATCATTTCTATTATAGTTATTCAGTTTAACTCTTCTTTATGTCTTTAATGTCTTCAAGTTGGTGTGTGATCAAATTTTTCTTGTTAAACATTTTTCTCATCAATTTTAGCAATAAAATCATGATCTTTTACTAAATAAAACTTAAAATTAAATTATGATTATTTCTTAATCTTTGAAATTTTCATTTCGTGTTCATAAAAGATAAAATAATAGTTATTTTTTTGAGAAAAAAAATTTCATATCTATTTCATAGCATTTATGAAATACTAAAAAGATTTTGATCAAAATTCAGAATGTAAGAAACATTTTTGACAAATATCATACTTAAAAAAGTAGATATAGAAAAATTTTATTTTCTTTTCTTGCACAGTTTCCTCATTTCCTAACTTGATTTTTTACTTAATTGATTTGTCAACGGAGGTAAAAAAAAATCATAAACATTTTGCTATGTGACTAGTGCATCCGCCATTAATAAGCCAAGTATTTAGTTTATATGATTTGAGTTCTTGAGATGTCATAAATAGATACTCATTATAATCATTTTTATTTTCTTTAATCATATTTGTCTGATTTTTGGGTTACTACTCAGGTTTTCGTATGACCATTTTTTTTTGCAAAAGTTACCGTAAAAAAAAAGTTTATCTTTATATACTAATTAACAATCTTCTTGAACATGGTTGATTCATTGGCAATGAGAACAATCCAAAAGCTTTCCTTAATTTTCTTGAAGAATCTATAGCTTTTCCCTTTTTGCTATTGAAAAATATCATGTTTTTTGAACTCTTTTGGTTGTGTTTTACTTGAAAGACACCTTTAGCTAACATTTTGATCACTTGTTATTGAGATTCTTTACTTTTGCATAAAAAAACTTTACTAGATAACTTTATAACTATGATAGTTTTGAAATCACAAGACTTTTCAATTATACAGATCTTTATCATAATTTTCAAGCATTGAAACCACAATTTTTTTTCCTTCAACCTTTTGATTTATAAATGATGTTTCAAAGTCCTATTTTATTCACAACATCTATTAATTTGCCAAAATAATTTTCATCTTCATCAATTCAAAATTTCTTTTCAATATGAAAAGCCTAATATATTTGACCCTATTGGTGCCTTCAATTTTGTCTTGAATCTTGCCCCACATATGTTTTGGTGTCCCCAAGTTTATATTTTGGTAAAAATGTGATTTGTAAGTCCTTAATGCAAGAAAGCGGTGATTTTATCTTTCTTCAACTTCTCATACTCATAAGCTTAGATCTAAGCAATTCTATTATTTTCTCTCTGGGTCAACTTTTGATGAAATTTTAGACCTTAGAAAATACTACATCTTAACAATTCAAATGTGATATTTTCACTATTAAATATAGGAATTAGATTTAAAGATGAATTAAGCAAGTTTTGGATATTTTCACAAGTTCACGTGTAATTCCAATGTTTAATAGTGAAAATCATCACATTTCAAGGTTTATCAAATGTTATAATCTTTATAGTTGATCCCTTGCCATTAAAAAAAAATCATACAATTTTTCAAATCAAATCTTACAATGAGGAAAAGTTAAAAAAAGATAAAATCATTTGCTTGCATATCCAAAACTTGCAAATCATATTTTTACCAAAATTATGGACTTAAAATGTTTCAAGTTTATATCCTAACAAATTCATTTTCTTCAATAAAATTAGAGGTTAGCTAATACAAAAGATCATTTAGCAACATTAAAAAAAATAATAATCGGCTTCATAAGTACAAACGCAAAAGTGTACAGCTCCAAAGATAATCAATGTGTAAAAAAGCTAAATAGACAGAAAAATAATTAAGATTCAGAATTCATCATCACATCACTGGGAAAGCCTTTTTGTGCATTGGATAGTTAAGGCTCTCCGAAGCAATTCACATTTGCATCACAAGATAGGAAAAAAAGGTAAATCCTCGTACACCTTTAGTTCTGTATTCATTACATACTTTTAGGCAAATTTTCATTAAAATGTAAAAAAAAAAAAAAAAAAAAACAGAGGTTCCTTATTAATTTCTTTCATTATTTATTTTGTGAGATATATTTTTCAGAAAAAAATTATATGTTATTGTCCAGTAGAAATTCAGACCAATCTTCACACGAGAACGATATTTGTCCTCTTTAGAATGATATTTGTCAACTTTGAATATTGAATCTTCATGAATTTGCTTTTACTTTTTATTAATGTAGTTTGATTTGACTAGTATAGTTCTCAATAGAAGAAGCATGTGCTCTGTAAAAAATTAAAAATAAAAAATAACCTCAAAATCTTTTTAAATGAAACTAATAAAGTAAATATTCCAAATTTTGGAACTAACACTGAAAAGTAGCAAGCAGGTTTTGTCATTTTTTCGTTTTTGAGTTGTTGCATAGATGGTGAGTTCATCGTATGATCAAAATGTGTACAAAGACAAACGATTTTTTTTTTCTTTTTCTAATGCGTGTATAGTTCAGTCAGCAAACAAACACGAGTTAAATAAATTTATCTTTTCTAAAGTGAATATTTTACACAAGAAAGTGTATTATAACTATTTATTAAAAGACAATTAAAATTTTGCAAAATGAAATTACAAATATTTTTATGATAATTTTAAATTTGTTACTTTTTTAGTTAAATTTTAAACATATACTTTATTTTTTAAGCATATGAAACCCCTTTCTCTAGCTTTCGAAGCCTCTCAAACACTACTAGATTGTTATAGTGTATATGGGCAATGGAAAAGATTGGGCTCTAAGTTTGGTTTGCTTACCTTTTGGGTCCAAAATCCTAATATTTATACTTTCTCTTCTTCTATATCAAATTTTAAAATTTAACTACAGAATATATTAAACTTGTTTTAAAAATATAATTTTGAAAATCATCACTTTCATTATTAAATTTTAGGAAGTGATTTGGAAATCATCTTCAAAAGTTAAAATTAAAAAAGTATTTAATATGATTTTGAATCAAAACTTGGTAAGGTCTTGAAACATTCTTCTGGAATTAAATTTTTATATATGAACTCAAAAAGAATAGTGTAATTAAAAAAGCATTACAAAATATAAATTTTACTTTTTCATTTGTTATTGCGTACGTACATGAAACGTAGATAGCTAAAGTTCTTAACTGAACCCAACCACATGGTACCCTAAAACCCAACTAACTCGAACCAATGACACATGTTGACCTCCCTCTAGAGTTGGGAACGTTTGGATACTATTACTGTGGCGTGTGAATAATGATTAATTAATAGGAATTTGGAACTCTCCGACCTCTCTCCAGTAACACTAATAATCATTAGATATATATAATAATTCAAATTTAATTTTATAAAAATTATTTAAAAAATTATATTAATTATAAGATTAAATTTGAGTCATTAAATATATCTAATAATTATTAGTGTTGCTAGAAAGAAGTTGAAGAGAGAAGATTCCAAGAAAGAATCTAAATTCAATTAATAAAGCCAAGTAATATTTGATAGGTTTTCTTTCTTAGTAGTACGATAAAATATTTAAAAAGTTTCTGTTTACACGCGTGCATCATTATTATCTTATTTAAAACACACACTAAATCAGTTATTATTTTCGTCAAAAAAATCTGTACCAAAATTATTTTTACCCATAATTACACAATAATACTCCATCAAAACTCCCTGAAAATCTCACCATAATATTAATAGTTGTATCAAAACTCCCGAGATTTTGATTCAAAAATTCAAATAAATAACCGAAAAATGTTGTAATCAAAATCCAAACCTGATTAATAACGTGCCATTAATTTTGTTAACCCCAAGAGAGTCAAAAACTTTGAAAATGAGAATCTAGAATTGATTACATTGGTGATGAAAACTCCATTGCTCACCCTTTTCACCGGAGTGTAGTTTCAGATTTGGTGGCAGAAGAAAATTCAGCCGAGAAGGTAAGGATGTAAGTTCAATGGTCTGTCTGCACTGCAAGAAAGTTCTGTGCACTGTTGAAAGATACTGCATGGAACTGAAAGATCTTTTTTCCATTCCAAGAAAGAAACTGAAACCCAAAACTCATTTTGACCCATTATATGGGGCCAAAAAGATGATATAAAAGTGCCCTTTTAATGGCTATGCTGATGTTTAGTACAGCAGAAGAGGGTTGAAGGGTTTGAACCAGAAACCATCATGGGTTTGTCAGTTGGTATCTTTTATTTGTGTAGTACGCGTTGTTGCAGTAAGGTAGAAACTTTTCAGTGGTAGGAAAATACAAGCGGGTGGGAAACTGGGAATTAATTGAAAGTGTCTTGTGTAGGTTATTAGTGATCATTAATGGAGTGAGTGAGTGGATGAGATAAGAGAGGAATTTGACGCTCTTTCTCTCTTTTGAATTTAAGATCTTGTTAGCCTTTTTACCACCGATTATTATCACTTTTTCGTGTAGAATTTAACCTTTGGTTTTTTGCCTCTCATCTCACGTGTGTCAGAGATTTGTCCTCAAAACAATATACACCTGTATCCTTCCATTTAATTTTTTTTAAAGGGTTTGATGCCTGCTATTATGATACACTATATTAATATATTCCTCCGAAGTCCAAAACTTACTCTCATCACTTCTCTGCTTGCAACCTGTTGCATACCTTTTGCTAGATTTTTTAGATACTTTCTTGCACTGAATTCCACTTGTTTTCACATCACTTCAAAACTCAAAATTTGCACTAGTTCCCGTGTTGCATTGCATTGAGGGCATTGATCAGTGAGCAGTGAGCACCACTTGTATTCATTTTGTTACTACACTTGGCTTGGTTCACATTAGAGTTTAACTTTGGCATTGTTTCTCATTCCAGATTGTGAGTGAGAGAGGGAAATTATGGGAAAGGCTTCGAGGTGGTTGAAAGGGTTGTTGGGATTAAAGAAAGAGAGGGAGTACAGTGGCAATTCGGGGTCATTGACTCATGACAAGAGGGAAGAGAAAAGATCAGGGAAGGATGGAGTGAGTCACATTGCTCCAACCAGTGTTGCTGCTTTTCATCGTGCTCGTAGATCCTATGTTGCTGAAGATGGTGTCAAGAACAAGCTTGCAATTGATGTGCCTATTGTGAGGTCAAGAAGCTGTGACAGAGGCACCTTGCTTATTGGAAGCAGGGAGGGCTGGGCTGCTCTCAAGATTCAATCTTTTTTTAGAGGTTATTTGGTATGTGATCCACCACTTTCTCTTCAAGGGATGTTCGAATCTAATTGGTTTTAGTATTAGTTGCTTATGATGTTGTCTGTTTCCTCTCTGTTTACACAAAATGCCGTTTTGCCTAATTGCATTGTTTGGTACAGGATGTGCTTTGCTTGATTCTTACACCGAAGCACTTTTTATTTTATTAATGAAACAGTCCTTTTTCATTTGGCTAATGATTAATTCCATCCTATTTTGTGATGGATTTGGATGGATTGAAGAGATAAATACATAAAAAAAAATAGAGAAAGAAAGACAGATATCATAGATAATGTGAATTTGGATGGATAGAAGAGAGAGAGAAAAACTGAGCAGAAATAGAAGGAGAGAAAGTATATATATATATGATTATAGTCTTTCTTTTCATTTGAGCCAATTATTACATTCTTATATTCACCTAATCTTTTTTAACAATTTAAATCGTTGATCCATTTGCTAAAGGCTAATTTCCACACCATTACTTTATATTCTCTTTAGTGATACAACTTACAATGTATAACACAGAATGTTCTATTATGTTATGCGATAATTTTTGGTATATTCTGTGAGCACTTCAATTCAATATTTATATAATTAACATATTGGTTTCAGGCGCGAAAGGCTCTTAGAGCACTGAAAGGATTGGTTAAGATACAAGCTCTTGTTAGAGGCTATCTAATTCGGAAAAGGGTTGCTGCAACTTTTCACAGTGTGCAAGCTATGATAAGAGCTCAAGCTGTGGCTCGATCAGTGCGAGCTCGACGTTCAATTGACAAGGAAAATAGACTTCATCCAGAAACTCCTTCAAGGAAATATATGGTAAAAACTTACACCTTCACTCTTTTTCCATCAACATTAGTAATATGTTTGTGTGTTGATCCTTTTTATTTCTTGTAGCAACGGTTTGATGAAACAAGAAATGGGTTTCACGGTAGAAGGGTACCCATATGCTGTAAGGCACCCTTGTGTGAATTTGATGAGATTCCTAAAGTTGTTGAGGTTGACACACACATGCCCCATTCAAGATGTAGGAACCTTAACATTAACACAATGTCTGAATGTGGAGAAGATCTTAATTATCAAGCAATATCATCCTCTCTTCATTGTCCAATTCAAAGTCGAATCTCACCTTATGGAAACCGGCACCCTCAAGAGTTTGAATGGTTATTCAACGTTGATGAAAGTCAGAAGTTCTCCACAGCACACAACACGCCTCGTTTGGGAAAATGTATGTTAGCTAATAGCACAAATAATCCAATGAAGAGTGTTTGTGGAGACACCTTCTTTAGGCCTTGTTCCAATTCCCCTAACTACATGGCCAATACTCACTCTTCTAAGGCAAAATTAAGGTCTCATAGTGCTCCAAAGCAAAGGCCTGAACTCAAGAAAAGGCTTTCAATTAGTGAAATTATGGCAGCAAGAAATAGTGTTAGTGGGGCTAGGATGCAGTGGCCATCCAACCCAAATACTCAAGATTACTGTTTTTTTTTTAACAACATTTAAGAGGGCACTTAAGTAAAGTGGTTACTTTTTAATTTCTTTTTTCTAATGTTTCTTTTTTCATAGAGTGAGTTTTCTTTCCCGCACTTTTCCTTGTAACAGACGATTACTCCTATTAAAGATCAAAGTTTCATCATATTATGGAAAAGGCTTTGCAATTTGCATACTTACTAGCAACAATGACTTGTATATGTATTGACATTGTTTTAAAATTTAGCCATTTGATATTAACTATAAAGTTTTCATTCTTTTTTTAATTTTAGGTAAAAATTTAAATGATGATTTTTCATTGCATACATATGTCTTACACAAATTTTAATAACACAAAAGTTCAGATTATAAAGAACTTTTCAGTTTTTTTTATACTTATTTTTATTGCCTTTGAACTTAAAATATTAACATTATAATATTTTAATATAATTTTTAAAAATAAATTCGACAAATAGAGCAAAATAAAAAGGCTTTTTAATTTAATTTTATTTTTTTCACATGAAATGTATAGCGTATAGAAATTATAGAATTAAAGAAAGATAAAACTAAAATTAGATTATAATATAATCATAAAAGTAATATCTATTAAATTAATAAATAAATATTAAATGTATTTTTAAAAATATAGGACATTGATTGAATTTTAACAGTATAAAATATAACCTAAACCTGTTTTCTGGACACATTAAAACTAATATCTAAAAAATAAATATGTTTAAATTGGTATGATGAGACAAAAGATGAACGAACACCTTTTGTAGCTTGAAATTGGGTATTCATGATTCTACGAGTTAAGTGAGTTGGTAGACTCGTAGCGTGGAATTGAAAGCTCAGCTGTATGTATTATTTTGATTAAATATTGAGTGTGTTTAGAAATTGATCTTAAATGCAAGTAGTATCGTGTTTTCACTTTTCAGGTCAAATTTAAAGAAAAAGTGAAAAACTCAATTATTCTTGGTAGCTTTTACCTTGACATAAAGCTGGTGTTCATAAACATATTTCCAAACATGTAGTAAGAATTGTGTGAGGGATGAGCAATCATTAAAGCCTGTTTGTTTCGTAAAATTTAAATCAATTTTATTAACATTAAAGCCTTTTGGAATGTTTTGGTGCTACAGTGCCATGTCAAATGAAGCTAAGCAGCCTAGCCAAAATCAAATGGAACCATTCAACATAATATAAAAAGCCGAAGAAGAATATATATAATGGAATACTGTTATTCTCACCTTCATATTCATTATTCAGCATTCACTGATTAACAGCACATTCTATTGAAACACAAACTAAATATATTTTGTATCAACTCTTTAGCATCTGGCCTATTAGCTCAGTTGGTTAGAGCGTCGTGCTAATAACGCGAAGGTCGCAGGTTCGAGACCTGCATGGGCCAAAGTGTTTTTGTTTATTTGCTTTTTCACATTGTTGTTTCATTAATTTTTATAGTTTGTGGCCAGTGGGAGTAAGTTTCCGTTCATTAAATTTATTAAATCCATTTAAATTTTGGGCCAACACATTAAATAAACTTTTTTAGAAGGTTCATGAATCATGATATATAGACACTTTTTTTTTTAAATAAGTATATTTCTTTTACTTTTATTTTTTAAATTAAAATATTCTTAATTTTTTATTCTTTAATTTTTTAACTTTAGTGGATAGTTTCAATTTTCTTGACTTTTATATTATTTATTTTTCTCTTCTCATCTCTTTCACTTTTTCATATACACCCAGATCGTAGAACTAGTGCACAACAACATTATAGGTATATATGACTTCTTTGACAATTTTTATCAAATTATACATACATTTTTTCTTTCAACATTTTTTCTCCTTTCACACGTCCAAAAATCTTAACATTAAATTTAGTATTATGAAAAAGATATTTTGGAACACTACTTTCACAAGGATAATGAAACTAGTGTTTCGAAAAGTATTTTCCAAAATTATGTTTTTTACATACTTCCAAAAAATACTATTTAGAACACTAAATTTAGTGTTTTGAAAAATACTTTCTAGAAGTATGTTATTTTACATACTTCCAATTTCCAAAAAGTACTTTTCAAAATACTAAACTTACTGTGTTAGAAAAAAAAAATTTTCAAAATTATTTAAAATAACACATTTTTAGAAAGTACTTTTCGGAATAGTAAAGTTAATATTCCAAAAAATACTTTGTAGAATACTACATTTATTATTCCCAAAAGTACTTTTCACATGTTAAAAATCCAATTTCAAAAGATGCTTTCACAAATAAGAACACTAATTTACTATTCTAGAAAATATTTTCTGGAACACTAAATTTTTTTTATATTATCTTATCTAAACGTGTAAATGGAGGAAGTACTCAAAGAAAAAAACACATTTGATTCGGTACTTTCGATACTATCAAGAAAACTACATGCACATATAATGTTGTCAAAAAATAGTTTTGCGTTTCGGGTGCGTGTAAAAATTAAAAGAGGGAAGGAAGAAATTAATAGTGAGAAAACTAAAAGAGGAGGGAGGAATGGAGTAATGTAAAACGGAAATAATTAAAACTACCTATTAATATAGGTGAGAGTGGAGGAAAGGTAAAAAGATGCATGTGAAAACTGAAAAAATAAGGAAAAGGGGTATGTAAAAAAAAAAAAAGAAGGAAAAAAGTACTAAATTAAATGTTAGGGTGTAAAATTAAAAAAACAAAAATTATAAAAATTAAGGATATAGAAATTTAATTTTTTTTTAAAGGAGGTACATATAAAAAAAAAGTGTATATATCATTAGTCTTTTTACATTGTTGTTTGATTAGTTGTTATAGTTCATTGACCTAAGTATCCGTTCGTCAAATTTATTAAATTCATTTCAATTTTAGGCAAATACATTAAACTCATTTCATGAAGTATACTATTTTAAAATATATTTCTTTAATTCTTATAATTTTATTTACTTAAATTTTTAGTATTTATAATTAATTTAAAATAGACGCTTTCAGTTTCTATACTTATCTTTTTCAATCCTAGTCCATTTAGTTTAAGATAGTTTTTTAATCCCTATATTTATTTTTTAAATCCTCTTAAACTTTATTGTTAATTTATTTTTGTAATGTTATTTATTTCGTATAGACGTAATAAAGATCTTTAATTTTATGAAAGTAAAAAAATGTGTATCATCAATGGACATTACATGTAAAGGTAAAAAAAAGACACAAAATATTAAGAGATTTAATTGAAAACAACTTTAACAAAATAAATTTAATATTAGACACACAAAGTATTAAATTTAAATAATTTTAAAATAATGAAAATTTTATTAGAGTTTTTTTTTTGAGAAAAAAAGAAAATTTGAATTGAACAAATTCAATCAACACATAAAAGAGAATTTATAAATATGATGGAAATTAAAATACTGTATCTAAACAAATAGTTTGAAACAAGAGAAAGTTGATTGTTTTATCTAAATAAAATAAATTGAACTAAAATAATTAAGTTATTGAAATAAAAATGTTGGGTACATCTAAACATCCGATCATGTGGGCCAAACAGATTCGAAGGTGAATGAACATAGTCAGGTGGAAAAGGTCTGTGGGTGGGAAATCAAACTTTTAGAAGCAATCCCAAACCGTGTTAGCCACACATAGGAATGGTTAAGCTCAGTGTTCCAAATGATGTAAATAAGGCCAATAAATCTTATAATGAAAGTTTGCGAGACAAAACAAGTGGTGCACATGAATGAGGATGCTATTTATTTTATAATGGCTGATGTATATACATCTCCATTTTTTCATACATACACCCCTTTTTTTTAAAAAAAATATTAAATTCTTAAATTATCCTTAATATTATTTGAAATAAAAAAAAATTATTCTAGAAAATTTTTTTCGGAGGTGTATTTGTACATAATTATGGAAAGTTCTTTCCGGAATACTAAAATTACTATTCCGGAAATAACTTTCCGTCAGAATAATTCTGGAAAGTATTTTCCGTAACACTAAAATTACTATTGCGAAAAGTTCTTTTTGGAATTATGGTAACAAATACACACACTGTTAATATTCTGGAAATAATTTTTCGTAATAGTAATTCTAGTGTTACGGAAAATATTTTCCATAATTATTTTGATGAAAAGTTATTTCCGGAATATTAATTTTAGTATTCTGGAAAGTACTCTCCGTAATTATTCTGACGGAAAGTTCTTTTCGGAAGGCTCATGATATATACACCTCGTGTTTTTTTATAAGTACACCTTTATTTTTTTTAAAAAATTATAAAATATTATATATATATTTTAATTTTATACCTTTAACTTTCAATTTTCTACTTTTTTCTTTTTTTTTCACACACTTTTTTTTTCTCTTTCAATTTTTGCATGCTACCAAAATAGGTGGGATGAAGGAAAGATAATGGAGTGCGTGTAAAAATTGAAAAAGAAAAAAAGAAGAAAAAAGAAAGATCTGTAAAAAAAAAGTACTAAAATAAATGTTGTGAATGTAAAATTAAAAAACAAAAAAAAAACAAAAAGTTAAGAATATTTTAAAATTTTAATTATTTTTTTTGAAAAGGAGGTGTACTTATAGAAAAAAGGAGGTGTATATATTATCAACCTTTGAAAAACACTTTCCAGAATAATTTTTTTTTATTCCAAATAATATTAAGGATAATTTAAGAATTTAATATTTTTTTTAAAAAAGAGGGTGTATGTATAAAAAAATGGAGGTGTATATATCATCAACCTTTTATAATAAAAGTTTGAGGCATAAAACTATATTAAATTGATTATTGTAGAATTACTAGATTGGGGCAAAATACAATTTTAAGTTTGAATCCAATGTGGTCATTGTGGTTTTGATAAATAAAAACAATAATATCATAAAAAAAAAAACAAAAACAATAGTGTAACATGTAGACGCGGAAATCAGTCATTAGATTAGTTCGGTCTATTTTCAAAATTGGCAAAAATTGATTTGAATTTATTCATACTATGCAATCTAGGTGAACGTTAATTGTTATAAAATGTTTCATTGCTATTTAAAAGATAATAATTTAAAAACTCTTCAAATTATTAGCACAACCCTAACATAATATGATGATAGTTATATGAATTATTTATAAATTTAGTTTTTAGTAATAGTTATCAAAAGATATTGTGTTGCTACAACAAAACGTTATGACATAATTGATTTCGTTCTATTTTTAATTTTGAATATTATAAATCATAAGTATAAATATAAACATTTATGAACAATACTTAATCTTTTATATTATAAAGTTCTAAATATTATTTTATTTAATATTACTTGATATATTATATTAAAATTTAATATGCTATTTTTAATTATTACCACAATTAGGTTTATTGGATTCAATGTTTCCACAACGGTTAAAATTCGATTTGAATACTATTTTTTTTTACAAAAAAAATTGATACAGATTTGAAATAAACTTATATAAATGTGGTCTTTTGATTATTTTCCACCCTGCCAATGTACTGTGTGTCTGTTTATGATTTTTTGTGAAAAATATCTCCCAAGTATCATATTCCTGTGCTATTGGGCCGGAAAAGGCCCAGAAAGCCAACCCACTAAAAAATTTGTTTTTTTTGACAGTACTGAAGGAATTGTTTAAAACCTTATTTTTCAGCAAAGTGATACCTGGTTCTGTTTATAAAGATATAGTCATAAGTTACATAACATGTTCAAAAGATTGACATCCGTAAACATATTTGAGACCCATGGTCCAAAACTCAAACATATGCACAAGTTGATATGACCAACCACAACTCAAATTTGGTGACATGTTTTTGAATTAGCATGGAAGATGTGCCATTCATGAACTTTGTAATTGTATTTTATAAAACCAAAAAGACATGACATTCTGTTTTCTGTCTCGGCAGAAGAAAAGTATGATCCATAATAGATACAGAAAATATCAAGAGAGTTAAAATAAAGCACATGAACCACTACTAAAATTGTAACACAAAATGTGTAAAACTAAAAATCAGTAAAATTCGGTTGAGATGCGCAATTTAGTTATGAAAATAGAAGATATAAAATGATTATTTGAAGATGAAATGAAAAGAAAGGAAGTGTAGGGAAAATGATTGTTGTGATTTTCAATGAGAAGTGAAACACAACTGCCCATTCTCTCAAGATGATATTGCGGGGAACTCTTTCGGAAGGGTGCATTGATCGCAGCACAACACCGATACACACTATCCCCGCTCTTCAAAGTTATCAAACAAAAATAAAAGAAGGAAAAGAGTTAAGCAAAGCTCAGGCGCATGAGTGAGTGATGAATGAAGCACCAACGCTGTGCTCTCTCTATATATAGGAAACCACTCAAACCCTAAACCTTTACTGGACCAAAGGCCCATCTACCAGCCCGTCTTTTAGGTTTATGCTATCCATTTAACTCGGCTTTTTAAATTTTAATTATATAAAATTTTTATGTATAACTAAAATATTAATTTACATATATATATTCTCCTACAACCTAAAAATAAATTGTCATTGAATTTTAATTATATATAATTATGTTCCAATTAAATAGAATCATTGTTAAGCATAAAATTTTCTTTTCAAATATTTCACTTATTTACATATTTAAGACTAAGGCTACCGAATTCCTCAAAATGTTTCAGAATGGCTGCAAATTCTTCATCCTTAACCTGCATGCATCAAAATTAATCATATAGTATTATTATTAATATATTATTGGTTCGAAGGAAGCAGAGTATAAATTAATTAAGTAATAAAGTAACCTGAGGCAATCCATTCTGCTTCTCCCTTTCATTCTAACGTATACAAGGTGCTGTTCATAGTTAGTCTTACAGAATATTTTTTTATATTATGTTTACAGAGAAGATTTTCGTAAGAAAAATAATATTTAGAGTTAAACGTTCTTTTCTATTCATAAATATGTAAAAATATTTTTAGTTACTCATTTTTAAATTATCTATTTTTTCTTTTTTTAAAATGTGTCAAACCACAATTATGTTAATCCAAAGTTAACTGTAACATTAGGTAGCGTATGCTAATTTAAATACCTTGAAAATAATAATAATAACCGAACATTATCATTGAATTAGATTAACAATATCTGTGACAGGATAAAACTCGACTCATTTTTAAAAAGGGAGAACCAGGAATTAACATTTCAAAAATAGGGAACTAAAAATGAATTTTTATAAATTTATAGGGACGAAAAAAATATTTAATCATAAAACTTATTTGGATAAAACACTAAGTCCTAAACTTTAAAAAAAATATATATATATAGATTGAAATATGATGAAAGAAAAAATATTTTGGACTTGGGACTTTAGTGCCTTTCACATTACTTCTCATCACCCTCATCTTATCTTATTTTATTTTACTTCTTTTTTATTATAAAGCAAATAGTTTTGTTATAAATTTTCCATAAAATATTTTTTTATTTTTTATTTTTATTATTTTTATATATTATACGCATATAATAATTCCTCATTAGACATCATACTATTATTTCGACAGAGATTACCTAAAAAAAATATTAATTATAGTAAATTGAAATCGTAATAAAACATTAATTATATTAATTATTAATTATGAATCATTTTAAAATCAATATAAATAATAAAATTAAACTAACATTTATTTCATAAAATTCTTGTAAATTATATTTTATGTATAGGAAATGGTAACGGAAATTCATGTATTTTTTATGTAATATAAATAAGAAAAATTGTGCTAAATTTCTTTCTAAAAAAACTTCTGATAAAGCAAACAATTTTGTCATAAATTCTTTATGTAATATTCTTTTTTCTTTTTTATATTATATGCATGCAAAAATTTCTCTTCATAAATCATAATATTATTTCCCTAAAAGATTTCCTAAAAAAATATTAATTATAACAAATTTAAACTCTAATAACATAATAAATTATTAATTATTAATTATTAATTATGAGTTGTTTTAATATATATATATATATATATATAATAAAATTATATTAAAATTTATTTCAAATAATTATCGTAAATAATATTTCACGTATAGGAAATGGTAACGAAAATTCACATAATTTTTTTTATGTAATATAAATAAGAAAAATTATGCTCAATTTTATTTCACAAAATTCATGTAAAGAATATTTCATGTATATGAAATTATAGTGAAAATTCACTTAAAAAAACTAATTATAGAAAATTGAAATTGTAACAACATAATAAAATATTAATTTTATTAATTACTAGAAGAATTGAGACTCTTTGTATTTTTATTTATTTTTCATAAAAAATGATAATAATTTAGGACACAAAAAAAAGAAGATAAATTAGTGTGATTAATGAGAAGTTTTCATTTGCAATAAAAATGTAACTTACAATTACCAAGGTTAAAAGACCAAAAGACAAAAAAAAATAAAAATTATTGCTTTATTTTTTTAAAAAGTTGTGAAGGATGAAATGGTCTCATTAAAAATAAAGAAATAAAGGCTAAAAACAGTTAGAATAGAAAATTGTCTTTGCGTACATACTTTAGTCTAGGCCATTTACATACATTATTGCATTGTTTAAATAATTTTATTATGCATTATCTTTGTTTTAAATTATACTTTCAGTTTTTCTGTTTTTCTTTATAAATAAGTGTTTTAGGTACTTAAATTATGGTCTAAAGAGAGCAAATATCAAGATGGAAGAGTTGAAGTCAGAAAATTTCACAGGCGGGTTGAGGGCTTGGCTAAATGAAATGAAGAGAAAGAGACAACTCTTAGAAATAAAAAAAAAAGTCTGAAAATAAAAGAAGAAATAATTATAAGAAAAAAAGAAAACAACTGATCATCAAGAAGAAGAAAAACTCATCAAAAGGAGATCAACTTACCATCGGAAGATGAACGCTCATCAGTCTCTTTTGATTTTTTCTTTTACATTATGCAAAACTATTTTTTTTTGTTAGAGTATTGATGTAATATTTTAGTTCATAGTTTTGAACTTTTTCAATTTTTGTTTAGTTAATTTTAATTATCCTAGTGTTCTATCCATGTCTCTAATATTTATTCTATGAACAATTTTACAATTAGGAGATTGAGGATTATTTACGATTATAGATAAAACAGATTAGGTTTTTTCACAATTTGAAAATTGGGCATATTTAATTAGTTTGTGTTTGAGATAATAATTGTTCTTCATGATTATATTGAATTTCATAATTATCCTAAGGAATTGGAGATTAGGGTTCAATGAATAGATTTACTTGCCTAAGGGATTAGGGGTAAACAACTTTTAATAAACTCAAGTGGGTAATTACAATTATTGCATCAATTGAAAAGAGTAGGAATTTATAGGAAAGAATATGAAATAAATTTTCTAACAATTTTAATATTGAGTGAAGTTTTGTTAATTTTCTACGTTCACTGATCCATATATTTTTCGATTGCTCAAAATTAACATAAATTAATAATCTAATATTCAACAAATTCAATCCCTAAAGACGATAATATTATTATTATAACAACAATTGGTACATTTGCCAAACATGTAACAAAAATATCTCCTTTTATATACAAAAATATCTCCTTTTATATATTGTTATAGATGAGATGAACAATTTTAATATAAATATAAATATAAATAATAAATGAACAAATTTTAAAATACTATTTCTTTTGAAACAACTTTTGACGAATATTATTTCTCCTTGAAATTTTTCACCAAAAAAATAATTATAGAAATTTAAAACTGTAAAGATCTAATAAAATAATGAGTAAAATACACTTGCACCCTTGTTTTTTCAAGATTGTACTCGATACCCTTTCATTATTTTGACTTATAACGAAACTCTCTAAAAGTTAAAAAAATGTTACACTCACCCCTTATATCTTTTTGAAATTGCATCGAATACCTCTTCATTATTTAAATCTACAATGAAACTCCTTCATTATTTTGACTTATAATGAGATCCTTTAAAAATTGAAAAAAGTTATGCTCATTCCCTATATTTTTTTGAGATTGAACTTAATATTCTTTCGTTATTTGGATCTCTAATAAAATATTTTAAAAATTGAAAAGATGTTACACTCATAGCAATAATATTTAATAGTATCTTAAAATTTTAAAATGACAAATAAATAGAAATATTTTTTTTTTCTTGAAAGATGACAGATAAAACAAATTGTTTTTGCAACCATAGCAGTTATTGTTGAAAATAATTAATAAATGAAATACAAAAAAGTAATTACTTGATAAAAATGCCGCCAGATCATACACCTATACGTCGGGGGGAAAGACTACTCAAGTCAAAATGAAACTGAAAATGTTCATCTCAAATCCGCACAAAAAATCTCTCCAGGATTTATTTTGGCTTGGTGAGAATGAAAAGCAGTTTCATTTTGCATGGAACTTGCTGTTAACAGATTCGTAATTAGGGACATGGATAACTGCAAGGCAAAGACATGGCGATAGCATTATTAGATTATTAGTATCCAAACTAAATGCTTGAATTAAAGTATTAATTAATTGATGATTACCATCTCCATAGGATGCCATAGTGAGAGGTGAGGAAATAATTTTCTGAGCAATTTTAGTGATATCATTCAAAGTGATTCCATCTACTGCCTTTAAGAACTGCTCCACTGGCTTCCTGAAATGGGGACCCTCACAAATTCTCATATTATAAATTATGTCCATCATTTAAGTGATGCTTCTCAAATTTAAGTGGCAGCAGGAAGATTTGAGCAAAAGAAAGAAAAATTGGAATTGATGAATAGAAAAAAAACGAAGACCTTTGATTATTTACCTTTCTCCATAAGTCAATATCTGCCTTCCTATATCCTCTGATGCAATCATCTGCAAAAGCAATGAGTTTTTAAGCATATGACAACTAAATGAAATCAAACCAACCCAATTCCCTTTCTACATGTGACAAAGCTAGAGAAATCCATAATCCATAAGGAAGCAATTTTGCTAGAGTCACTTATTTTTAATTCAGGTGGAGAATAGGAGTAAATGAACAAAAATTCCACATCATTCAAACTATGAGTTCAAACAGAGAGTGAGAAAGAGAGAGCATACTCTGGACTCCAAATTCATTAGAACTGCAGACTTTGTGGATTCCTTGGCACGGTCAAGCTGTACCTGTGTAACTGCCATTGCAGGAAGCCAAAATTTAATTTGGCACAAATCAAGATTCTCACAGAAGAAGTACAAGAGAAAAGATACAAACTAAAAAACAATGCAAATTTAACCTTCTCCCGGTGAAGCAAGTGATATTAATTCGTTGGCTGCCAAATCCACAGCTTTTGCCACAAAATCAGAGCTCTATATTGACACATTAGAAAAAGCACTCATCATCAACACATCAAGCCGTAACTAATATGAGTACAATGTCAAAAAGTCGAAACAGATTAAAAGAGGGGAGAAAAAAACATAGAGTAATTGATAGGAAAAGTAATTTGTCTGAATTATGAAATTATATGAGCAAGAGATTGAAAGGCCACTGAGACACCGTGCAAAATTTTAAAAAATTAAACATACAATCAGATCAGTGATCTAGATAACCTCAACTCAGAAGTACACATAAGTATCTTCCAAGAGCAATAGATGATATAAGAAAAACCCATTTTTCTAGACATACAAATCCAGCTTTCCAATGAATCAAAAAACTCAAAATGTGGAAGAAAAAAAAATGTAAAACATTGGCATCATGTCTATGTTCAGAAAAGATTGTGCCTTACAGTGTATGCATATATGCCAAATAGCCCTGTGTTGTTGAAGATACTGTTGAAAGCAGAAAAAGATTGAATCTGCTGATATTCATTCAAGACACGGAGATCTGGATTCCATGTATATGAGCACAAGTTAAAGCATCAGAGAAGATATGGTAATATATAAAATAGTGAAATCAACTTCATATAGCCATGAAAAGAGAAAACTCTTTTCAAAAGGGAAAACTTTATAAGTTCAAAAACATAATGGAAAAGGTAAATCAAATCATTGAGCAAAGTCAGCTGTAAACTAGAAGATATAGGTAAAACTTACACAGCCTTGAGTGCATCCCTTTTCCGGGCCCTCCAGCTGAGAACGACCCACCTCCTCCCATAAGCATCTGCAGTACTCAGAATTTGTTATTTCTATATCTATTCAATTGCTTCTTTCCTCCTTTTCTTGTACATGAATGCCAACAAAAGAAATTATGCAAAACCATAGACATGCTAGCTCTTGGAATCAGAATGACTCAAACACAAAATGAGTACCTGTAGAACTGTCAAAACAATAGCTTCTCTCTCTTTATTCCAGCCACCAGGCACTTCGAAAGCAATAGCTACATGTGCACCCTGCCCTTGTGACAGTTCTTAGTAGATAAGTAATAATACATGTCATCCGAAAGGGGACAAATGAAAAAGGAGAAATATAAGTAAATGCAAGTGGTCTTGTATCAAATTAATACACACCCCTGATTCACCTTGACGACGAAAATCACCCCCAACATATGTAGATTTTGGTTCTTCGGGACGGGGAGCACTGGGTAGATCAGAGAGAAGTGGTTCAGCAACAGATAAAAGTTCTTCATGCTCAACCCCAGATGCTGCAAGAACCATTCTAGGTGCAGTATAATTCTCCTAATTTTCCACATCCAACAACATTCAGATAATCAGATAGATTGTGAGAAATTATAGTTTTGAACAATTAATAACAGTAGCTTTCATGCAGCATCAAAAAGATAACAGATCTTACAGCAACGAATTGCTCTAAAATGGGGCCATTTAATATGTTCAGTGCTGATTCAGAAGCCAAAAGTGGATAAGCCAATGCTCCAGAAAAACCAGCTGAATGAACCGCCTCCAAAAGTAAGCCCTGGGGATTGTTTGATAGTTCTCCAACCTCTGTTTTTACTTTTCCAAGCTGTACCAATATATGGTTTTACAAGATCAGAAAGAATAGCTATTATAGTCATGGTCATTGTGATGAACGGTGTAATAGTTGATAATATATATAGAGGAGGGATCCACAAACTCAAATGACTATTATGTATATTATAATGAACGGTATATTAGTTGGTAAAAGTTGTATCAGTATCATTTGATCTCTCCCCATATATATATATATATATATATATATATGGCAAGAAATAACACTAATGCAAAAGGCAAAAAGGGGAATCTTTTACCATAATGTCTTTGCTTCTGGTTACACAAAAGGAAAAAATATGAAAAAAGCCATACAAGATAAAATAAGTCAGAGCAAAGAAATACTAAACCATGTTCTCAGCATATGATTCGGTATGTAACTAAGGAATGATAAATATTAGTCATATATTAAGCCTTTTCTCATTTGTTTTACAAAAGAAATATTAAGCCTTTTCTCATTTGTGTTACTTAATCGTAGATTAGTATAAAAATGATATATCCTATATAAAGAGATATTACTGCTGGGTGGTTTCCCCATAATTTGTTTTCCTTAATCCATGTTGTACTAGACCACGAAACAGGGAAAATCCTTGCCTTTTGTTGCAAAGAAAAAAAAATGATGCATAAGAATTGAAAAACAAGTTTTTCAGAGAAAGAATTCATAAAAAAAAAAAACCAAATGTACCTCTTCATTGACCTCCCAATTCAAGAAGGCTGGGTTCCTCACACAGTCAACCAGCAACTCAATCATTTGTGGAGAATAGGTTTTCAGAGCATCAATAGTGTAGCTCATTTGCTCTCGAGAGGCTGTGGCTCCTACATTGCCACCGATTGCTTCTATTTCCCTAACAACACGAAATTGACTTCGGTTTGTTGTGCTCTTGAAAGCCATTTTTTCTAGAAGGTGTGACGCCCCGCTTGACCATGGCGTCTCATAGAGGGAACCACAGTCTATATATAACCCTATTGAGGCAGCAGGGCTCTGATTCACAACCAAAACATACACCTTATTTATACTATTAGTAAAAGTAACAACATTGTCATTAAACATGTCCAGGTACATAAAACTATAAACAAGCACATACCTGTGAGGTTTCTGATGCTATTTTTAGACCATTGGAGAGAGTTGTGATCTTGGTGTTGCTTGGTTCAACATAATCTGGCAGTGAAGGTGGCAGGGAAATCCCTCTAAGTGGGGTGTCAAGAGGAGGATGAGAAGTGGAAGATTCCCCAGTAAGCCAGCTGAATAAACCTCGTGAAGTGGCAAATCTGGAGGCTCCCAAGGTTCTCCCATTGCCCTACTCATATGTTTTAATCACACAACTCAATTCCAACAAATAGAGTCTCGCTAGAAAAGAACCACAATAAACAGGGAAATGCTGATTGAAACTTGAAACAAACACGTAACATGCAATGAGATGTGTTATCTATAGACAACCTAGGAGTCATCAAAACCATCATTAAAAGAAGAAAACAAACACTTATCACAACGTACAAATAAACCAAAAAAAAAAACAGCTACAAAAACAAACTTCATCTTTGAAGCCTCAGTAGCATGTTTTCACCCACAAAACCAATCAAAATGGAAAATTTATTATATGGGTGGTTTCCAAAAATTTGAAAAATGAAAAAGGATTCCATAAACAATGGGGTTGTGATCTATCTAAAGAGTAAAGAGAAAGAAAGGCATTAGACCTTGGAAAGGGTGAGACGTGAAGCTGCAGCTCTATACATGACGAAAAGAATGAATCCTTTGAGGCAGCAAAGGACAAAGGTGACTGCTAAATGCTAAATGATAATGCTACAAAACCGAGTCTAATGAAGAGATGCGAAAAAGAGGCTTTTGATTCAATGCGAAATTGTTACATTTAAGCTTCCATGACCATTAACTTAACCTTTCACCAAAAAAAGAATGACCATTAACTTAACTACAAATGCTAGTGTGGTAGTGCTGTTTTGATATTTTACTATTTACTTTGTAACTTTTCATGCGGCTATTATTAAAGATAACAAATTTATTTCATACGGTGATGTTAATTTATTTTTTTTAACAAGGTTGATATGTACTTGAATCATAATGTAATATATATGAAACTAAAATTTATAATAAAATATATATAAATAAATATTATATTTATATATATAAATTACATTTAAATTTTTTATAAATAAATAATTTTAATCATATAAATTATATTTTAGATTTAT